ATATTTCCTTTGGCAAGGAACTTGAAGCGATTAAAAAGCTAATTTATTTGGACTGACTTCAAGAAAAGAAAAACACACCGCATTTACATTTATTACTGTAATGGATTTGGATCAGTTCTATAGCTGAAGCCAGAAGCATGCTGTTTATCTACCTGGATTCAGCTCATCAAAGGATCCAAGAATTTATTGATAATCTCCGTCTTCTCAGGCAATGGAGCTTCGTAAGAGAGTGAAGCTGAACAAGCTAGAAACTAATTTGGGCCTTTCACAAGATGATAGCAGTGACTTGATGTGGGGGGCAGCGAGATCAAATGCCGCGCAGGAGGAGGGCAGAGGGAACGTTTCTCTGCGTGCAGGATCAGGTACTTGTTCCGGGTCAGACATTCCATCCTGGTGGTCTTGGCGACGGCGTGTTTCCATGGCCGCAGGTTTGCTCCTGGCTGGGCTGCTGGCACTGACTCAGGCCTGGTGTGTTAACGCCATACACGAGAATCTGCTGTGGTTCTCTCAGCTCATGGTAGGAGTTATTTCCTGTATTATTGACACTGTTTTTATTTGAACCTTAAATTAACCGAGCACATCACACACAAGCTCTTTCTCGCTGTAGCTGAAATGGAAATAGTTTTTTTTATTAAACGGGAATTAATCATAAATCATATTCATTCTAGAATAAACCACATTTATTCATCTATGCCTACACTTTTGCAGAACTATTACATGAACCAAAGTGTTTAATGTCTGTTTTTTTGTCAAGCAGACATCCATCTAGACATGTCAATTGTCAGTGCCTCGTGATCTGGGATGTTGAGTAATTGCAGGGTTGGTTGTTTGATCCCCAGCTTCTTCTTGTCCTGCTCACATGTCACAGTGTCCTTGAGCAAGACACTAAACCCCAAATTTCTGCTGAAAGGCTGGCCCAGTGCCTTTTATTGAGTTGAGTGTGTGTTGAAGGATGAATGAGTGGCAAATGTTAAGTGCATTGTCTGCTCAGTTAGAAAAGTGCTATTTGCAGCAGACAGCAGGAGTAACAACAGAGGGTAAGGTATAAACAAAGATCCTAATAGCAACAGTGCTCCTGGATTTGAGAACCACTGGTTTATTGACTAATGTTAGTTAAACAAACCCTAACTACAGGGATATCTGCTGATGGTGCATTCTGACATTTTTATTGGAGAACTTAATCTCCAGCCACATTAAGAGCCATCCTTTATGTTATCAGTGACACCTGTGTCCTTCCTGAAATGTCTGCTGGGAAAAAGGCCCGTGGAATGAAAAAGTAGTGGCCTATCCATTGCATGGACAGTTCCACAATGCAATCCATCACATTTTGCACAGATGGTTTATACATTTACAGATGTGCAACAATCTAACTCTCTGATCATGCACATTCAAGATAAGTTTCCAAAATCACAATTTACTGCTCACTCAAACTACTGACTCTCTGTTATATATGGTTGTGGCTGAGTGATCGAGTGAGTGAATTCAGACACAACTTATATTTATGAGTTTATGATATACATAAACATGGATTTAACAGCTGGCAGATGTGATAGTTCTGCCATCAACACACGTGAAAAAGCCAAACATGATGTAGTAGCATCTTAAAGTTTCAACTTAACTTATGCTTCTTTATCGGGACTACTGTAGATGTGAAATCAGAAATGAAGTCCAGCAAGTCCAGAAGTTGTGACGTTAAGTGTGTTTGGCTATAACTGTGTCTGCACCACCCACACACTTTATTGTTCCCATAAGTGTAGATATAGATGAAAAACGGGGTTTGGCTCTGGGACCAAGGGTTAGGGAGAAATCTGATCATTGGTGGTAGAGGTATTTTGGTGAAGAAAGAGCACTGGAGTCCAGGATGTCTTATACTGAGGATGTTTATTTAAGCTTGATTGAGGAGAAAGGAGGAATCATCAATACAGACTTCTGTGCATGATCTCATCTCAATTCTGAAGCAGGGACCCCTGTGGTCAGCCTTTATGCACTTTGAAAGGTTACTATAGGTAGCATACAATCCATATTCGGTCAAATATGGAAAGAAGATGGAGAGGAGGGATGTGTAAATAAACTATTGGTCCATTAACAGTAAACAAGGAAACATGATTTACACACACCCAGGTGCTGATCTCAGAACACCAAGCCACTTGTTACTGACCATCCAAGGTCTTCTGTTATCAATTGGGGTACCAGCAATATCAACAGAAAACAGCTGTGTCTGGAGGTTCACCTCCTGTAACATTTAACGCAGTAGCTGTGGCACTGACCTAGAGCCTCACCCTGACTTTTCACCCTGAGTCAGTCACTCACGGTGGACAAATAAGGAAATTCCCTCACACCAAGCAGCTGCCTTTTGCTAAGTCAGGTTAGGGAGCTGCTTCCTCTCTCATCCAGACAGCAGGAACAAGGCAGCAGACTGCTGCCACAGCTGTCATGTTTCAGTGTAGTGTGAAGGGCTTAATTGTTATATAACTTACTCTAAATATTAAACATCTGTAATTTTTACCTTTGGTCCACACATTGACACAAAGTCATCATTCCTACAATGTAGTGGGCCAAGAAATGTAGTAAATCAAATAACAGTTCTGAAATTCACCACAGTACTGTATGGATGATTTTGAAATGGTGATACTGTAGCTGGACTCCTTCATCTGCTCATTTTTCAAAGAGCTTTTGACGCACAACTGGCCAAAAGCCTACATACTATTAACAGACTAATATGACCAGTCCAAACATCAATCAAGTTAAGTGCAAGAGCTGTAAGGTTCTCATTTGTTACAAAGGAGCACTAAAAAAATAAAAAAAAACATCTGAAAAAAAAAAATTTGCATGCACCCTACACATGCACGGACCCTGACCTCAGGCCCAGATGGTCTAGGCTTAGCCCCAAACCTTGTCAGGTCCTAGAAATGCCCCTGGTATTTATGTGTTCAAATAGTATGAGAATGTAGGTGGAGCTATGCTGGGAGATTGCTGAAGTCACTAGATTTAGAGCGTGTTCATTTTCCAACCTAATGCAGGTGCTACAAAATGAATCGGAGTGTCAGGGAGAGTTAAGGACAAGTCTGTACACACTCAATCCCCTTGTCCTGGGAAGATTTAAGTAAGTAATTAAGTAAGTTAAGTGAACACCTATGTGGCTGGACCATGTGGCTGTGGAGGATCCTTGGGCTCTTAACATTGTTTTCACTCTCAGTACTGTCTCAGTCTTGTTCCTGCATTTGTACATCTTGTACAGAGGTGTGTAAAATATTAGGACTGATGTCTGTCTCTCTATTATAAAACAGTAGTTTTATATTGTGCTCCTCAGGACTCAAACCCTGCTAGTTTTCACTCAATTAATCAGCAAATGGCTTAAACCAGATGTAACCATGTCACCCTGGTTCCTTCCACAAAAAGCCAATGGGATTTTTACATTTGCTTTTGGATTACCACAGGAAATGATAATAATAATTAACACGTTTCGTTCAGCAGGATTATCTTCACTGATCAACATCACTTTTATGATTTTCGAAACCTATATACAATCACCAGAAGTAAAAAGCTAATGTTTGGTTACAACAAACTACACCAAGGTCACATGACTTCAACGTCACCACCAGTAAACTTCAATTTGTAGTTTGATTTAGCTCTTACCTCGTCTACAAAAGCCTCTCCTCTAGTAATAGTTTACAAAAGCGTGAGTATAAACACAGTGAGGCTATAAAGGTGGACTGGTGAGTAAATCGGTGTATTTGGCATGATGACATAAGTCAAGTTCAAAAACTTCTGTAGTCCCATTCAACCACTTGTTAGCAACCGGCCTTTTTAAGAGACATACAAGCTTAAAGAAATCAGGACTGGGGTATTTACTGATAAATTTTATGTTGTAGAATAAAACATGAAAATGTCTTGAGCTTGTGTTAACCACAGACCTTATTTCAGTCATCTAACCATAAAACCATTAAAAAAAAACAAGAATCAGAGGTGCTAAAATGTTACCTAATTACCGTATTTTAGGGCTCATTCCTGTGGCACTCTTATCACTTTAGTAATTGACCACATCTGCTGTGAGGTGACTGGGTATGATGATCTGCAGGACACCAAGGACCGACATTAAATTGCCAGGCTAATAACATTCAGCCATCAGTTCCTCTTCATTTGGGGTAGGGGTGGGGCTACAGGCTACAAAGTGACATTTTGGGGAACATTTTACATGCAAATTCTATTTGAATGTCACTTCATGGTAGATTTTTGTATTTTCCAGCATAATGGCTTTGCTTGTAATGCAAATGGAAAAATGTAGGGGCTGTTCCTTTTTTAGTCATTTAGTCACCACATCAATGTTCTATCAATTTTGTGTCCATTAGTTGTTTTTCTAGGTCTTTTTTTTTATGGTCTTTTCGAAGGATGAGCGTTTTATCATACATGATAACTGGAAAAAGGAGCACATGAATGGCATCATAATAATACTCAGAAATATGATTTGGTTTTTAATAAGCCGATTTCAAGGTCCATGGGAATGACCGCATTCATCTGTGGAGGGACAATAATCCTGGAGAAACAATTTGACAGACTTTTAGTTAAATCACACAACCAAAAGAAATCTATCACTATAGTAAAACAATTTCTTTTTAGTTAGGCACAGCTGTAAAAACTATTAACAAACTGAATTTGATGTGAATATTCTGCAGCCTGTTGTCCACTGTTTGCTCTCTCTTTTTACCCCCCACTGGAACAGTAATCATGCATAGCAAGTCAGAAATCTCTTGGGAAGACATCCTACACACACACACACACACACACACACACACACACACACACACACACACACACACACACACACACACACACACACACACACTGTGTTACGTGTCTTATTGTTACTGTTGAGGATTATAAGTGTCTTAGCTGCTTTGTCTCTGTCCTCTGAGTTTCTGTCATATCTTGCCAAGATCTCTGTTTTCCATATTGACGAGAACAGAAGTTTCATATAACCAAATTCCCCTTTTTGCTTTCAGGAAGTGGAGCGGGAGATTTCCTTTCGGACAGAGTGTGGACTCTACTACTCTTACTACAAGCAAATGCTGCAGGCCCCCTCCATACAGGAAGGTATACACTATGTTACCTTCTTCCTACAGTAGTAACCTATCAGTATTTCTAAGGCCAAGAAACATATCACTAACTCATAATGTTATCTTGTCAGGTGACAGGTTTGAAAAAGTCCCATTCATGACCAACCCTGTTCAAGTAGCAATTGCTTACTGTGCGGAATGGATGCTATCAGGGTTTTGGCTAACGTTAGCATCTATGTCCTGCTCTTTATTTAATTTGGGGAGGTTAACATCCCGGAAAGCATTACGTTTGCCAGACATACATACTTGTTCGTCTTCATCCTAAAAGTCTTTTCTTTTATAACATTAATAGTCTGATTTTACATTGTCTAACATCTTACTTGCAATGCTATCTCCATGTCTCCTACATGGATAGTCAACTGATGAGGAAGCTGTCAGATTAAGCCTCAGTGTTTTTGAGTTTATTTAGCTTTCAAACATATTTACCTTGTACAGGATGAAATGAGTCAGCTGGCTAACATTAGCTTAATTAGGCAGCTAGCTACAGCTGATAAAGTCTGCCAATGACAGTCATTTTTTCCAGCTGGCAACATCGGCAGCCACCCGGAGAGGTAGATCAAATCAAGGACCAGTGTTACAAAAATGACGAAACTACATTTGTGCCACAGGAGAACTGAAACTTCGCAGGCATAGCAACAGTAACTAAGGCAAGCAGGGCTTACCAAACAGTCAAGTAGTAGACAATGGCTGTATAAAATCACATAATCTAGCATTTCACGGATGTTTTGAGAATTGTAATTTTGTGAAACTGCTGTAACTACATGCTGTAACATGGTCTAGTGATATTTCAAAATGACCAGTCTTCAGAAATGAACATTTTTATTGTATGGATGTCACTAGATGGATGTCTCTACCTACTCCTACAATGAGAATGAAACTTTTTTGCCTTCCATTTTCTATGCAGACCAAACAAATCACTGCACTTTCACTGCAGAAATTAGTTCAGTTATTTTGTTCCCATTATCATGTAAAATTCCTCTTCGGAAACATGCCTAATTTTAGACTACGGCAAATAAGTAAGATGTATGGTAATCAGTGGAGGAATTGGCTGACCTCCCTCTCTCTGTCTCACTCTGGTTCGCTTCTTTTCCTGTTGCACTTGAGGGACGGCAGAATGGCTTGACATGTGGAAACTACTGTAGGTTTAAGTGCTAAGTGTGAGGCAGGGAGGAGAGGGAAAGATGGAGTGATGATGTAATGGAGAAAATGAGGGAATAAATGATTGATGTGGGAAAGGAAAAAGAAAGGAAGCAAGGATGGAAGAAATAGGATAGAAGGATACATGATGGGAGAAATAAGAAGGATACAGAAGCAGGGATGAGAGGAAAGGTATAACAGACAGATGGGAAGGATAAAGGAGTTAAGATAGATAAGAGGAATCAAAGTGAGAGAGGAAAGAATGGCTCATAGAAGGAGGAAAGAAGAGGGATAAAGCAAAATTGACGGTTCAGAAGAATGAATGAATGAAGAAGACATGGAAATTAATGAATGAAGTGGATTGGTATGTGTGTATGTGTGTGTGTGTTTGGTTAATGTAATGTGTACTTTGTTTATCAAAAACTGTGCTGGTTTTTATGGTCTTACATGGATCAAGAACATAACAGGGATCAGGCTGACACATCCCAGCCTGCAGCAGAAACTCAGCTCTCTACTGCTTCTTTGGTGTCGCACTTTGTTTCAGTCAAATGAAATACATAGTAATGTTACACTGCTCCCAGCGCCCAATATGGAATACTGACACCAGTGTGTGTCACTACCAGTCTCTCTGCATGGCAGGATAATGCCATTGTGAAAGAATAATTTTGGTTTATTACAACTTAGGTCTATTTAAGTAGCTTTTGCCATCATATCTATAAAAATACCATTGAACTCACCAGAGTAATTGCTGAGAAAAGGGAAAAGAAGTCAGACAGGGCAAGAAGACAGGTTGTGAACAAAGTCCCAGGTTAACTTGAGACTATCTTGTGACAGGATCATTGCTACATTATTATTATTATTACTACATTATGAGAGCTTAGTACTTCACTTTGATCTCAAATACACACCTGTAAAGTTTCGTGACTGCATCTTGCTCAGTTGTGAAGTTGCCAAAATCTGTCAGACACCTGGCAAAGTATTACTGTGGTAGTTCCTGCTACAGTACAGCTATATTTTGCTTTGATGGCATGCACGCACGCACACACGAACGCAGTTTACAGTTTTACATGCTGCTTCAATTTTGACCTGCTGTACTTGGTGTAGTTGTATTTTTTTCTGTGCTGTGAGGGATTATTACCAACATTTCAAGTGTGTTCACTTTAAGTTTTACATGGTAAAATAATCTGGCTAAACTATTGACTTGTAGACAACGTATCTGTTGTCTGGCCGTTCAGATTGCTTTTTGTGTTGGACTTTTTGTTGCCATGTGTCCAGATTTCAGTAGTTACTTTTGTGAGTACAATGTTACAAAAAATAAAGTTGCAAAAACAAGACCCAAGTCATAATAAACCTGAATTAATCCTCTAAACCTAAAATAACAGATATATTTATTTACCACTTGGGAGCGGCAGAAACATAATAAATAATCACCTTTTAATCACCTAAAAAATTATCACCTTTTAAGTTGACATTGTGAACTTGTTTGCAAACAGTTGCCTACAGATATGCAGCAACATTTGCAGTTGTGTTTGTGCCAAATGTCAGTCCAATATCTACCTTCCTGTCAGCTTTGTTGTGCTCGTCATCAACTCCTGAGGAAAATATCTCGCTCTTGCTGCTAAATGCCACACTGTGTTCTCCAGCTCTGCTCTTTGGTGCTGGACAGGAACTGTACAGGGTTTTTTTTTTTTTTTTTTTTTTTTTATAGCTTTTTTGCACAGTTGCCTGCTATGTTTGAGAGTGGCCAAAATCAGTAAAATTACAAACCATCAAACCAAAACATCAACTGATGCTAAAAAAACTCCATAGAGCCAAGGAGAGCTGCAGAGTCGTGTGCTAATTATGATAAGATAAGATATTCCTTTATTAGTCCCACAGTGGGGAAATTTGCTGTGTTACAGCAGCAAAGTGACAGTACAAAGAAAGAAAAATTGCAAAATGACAATATCAAGTACTTAGAAAATATAATATAATATAATATAAAAACTCACTCAGGACTGTTGTGGAGAGATGCATGCAATGTAAGATGGATGCCATCTTGGACAATACCAACCATCCTCTCCACAACATTCTGGTGGGACAGAGAAGCAGCTACAGCTGCAGCAAACGTCTCATCTCACTGCGCTGCAGAACAGAGGGGTTCAGGAGATCCCTTTGCTCCCGCTGTCATCAGGCTGTACAACACCTCAGCCAAAGGATGCAGACTAATCTAATTATTATTGTTTATTTATTATTAACTGTTTTTTATTATTATCAACTATAACTATAAATAAATCTATCTATCTAATCTATATGTACAATTAAATATTTAAATATAACAAAAAACAAAAGAATAGCAGCAGAGAAGGGATATTGTACAGATGGTGTGTTAAATTATTGCGCATGGTGAATTGTCAGTCTTTGGTGTGTGTGGTCTACAGAGTGCAGTGTTTGTGTGTTTGTCAGTCAGTATTGGTCCATTGTTAATATGCAGTAGAAATATTGCTTACAGAGCTTTAAATGTTCTTTGGTAGTATTCCCTCATCTCTAGGATTTCCTGCAGGAAATTGTTTAGCGGAGGTAGGAAGAAAGCTGCTAATTTATTGTACCTAGGAGTACAAATAAAGTATCCTATAACCTAAACTACCTAGATCTTGACTGTGTTGATCTCTGTAAAAAGGTGCATCTCTAATGTTGCCATGTTTGCTCTGTTTAATACTTTAAGCCCTCTGTCACTGCCTCCCAAAGGTTAATGTTTTATTTGATTAAAATTAAATAAAATTATTAATTTTTATGCCTCAGTGCCGGAGGCATTATGTTTTTGGGCTGTCTGTCCCATTCTCCTAAATGCGATATCTCAGTAACACCTTGAGGGAATTTCTTCAAAATTGGTACAAGCGTTCACTTGGACTCAAGGATGAACTGATTAGAATTTGGTGGTTGAAGGTCAATGGTCACTGTGACTTTACAAACCATGTCTTTGGCCATTACTCTCATATTCAGACACACAAATAAACTAATCATGACACAATTTAACACAAATGTCTAATAGGATAAAATGATGAAGTGATGACATTTATCAACTTTACTGTGACATCATAATGTTCTGCTAAAACACTTTTTACCATTATTCAACAATGTGACTCAGGAAGGAGAGATTGTGACCACATTTCCTGCAACTTGGCTGGTTGGTGGAGGGATACAACCGCAAAGTGGTAATTTAGTTATGATGTTAGTGGAGGTTGCCCACATCTCCCACAAAATACTGCAGGAAACCCTGAAATATTTTGATGTTGTATTTATCTTCAGTTACTGGTGTGTTTTTTTTTTTTTTTTCTTTTTCTTTTTTGAGAAAAAGCAGCACAACACAGCGGATGTTTTTTAAATTCAGCAAAGGAAGTGATGTTTGAGGGCTTTCAAGGTTGAATGCACCAATGGGCTCAGACATCCATTGTGTTTTCAGCAATTAAGGAATTAGATTCAAGCAGAACAATCTGGGTTTAGTGCTCAACAGAAATTTCAAACAGTGTTATTGTTCTTTAATAGCACCGCATGAGAAACATTCATAGCCTTTCCTCCTTGGTTGTCACAAACCAGTAATAATTGCTATCAGTCTATGTTGCAGTGACATTTTGAAGTGTGCATGTTTATTTATATATATATATATATATATCATATACTATGTGTGTGTGTGTGTGTGTGTGTGTGTGTGTCTGTGTGTGTGTGTGTGTGTTCTAGGGCTCTCAGATTTGATCCATGACAACTTGACAGAATCCAAGAGGACCATTAATCTCCTGCAGCGAATGAATATCTACCAAGAGGTCTTTCTCAGTGTTCTCTACAGATTGTTGCCCATACAGGTAACACATCACCCATCTGTCAGCTTTTTTACAATAGGCTTGTAAAACACAAAAGATTAGAGTAAGACTGCCATTACAACAACATATTTGACTGTATCTGGCTTTTTCTGTCATGTTGGTCCATAAAATAAAGCTTTCTCATTTAGTAAAAAATGTAAAAAATAATATCATGCTTCAGTATTTTTGAAAAATATTGTTTTTCTGTCATTCTCCTTCTCCTCCTCCTTCTTCTTCCTCTCATTGTTATTATCAACCACCCAAGTTACTATGAACGATAGTCGTATTTGGAGACTGTCAGGCATTTGAGGTGCTTTGGCATTTTGGTCTTTTAGCTGACATGGTTTGGCTCACTTGCACTCGTCACTCTAGAGGAAAAGGTTTCTGTACTGGCATATCAATTAACTGAGAAACAGCTACTTAGCTTCATCAGTGATCTCACTGTGTGACAAGAATGTCATAAAGTGAAATATCAGACCAAACTTTGAAAATGCCACAGTGTTCCAGAGTGCCCAAGTCCGTCGCTGTCATTGTACTCAACTTTCTGTGTGTTCATTTTCACGGCCTAATGAACCAATGGTTTCTGTGTGTGTGTGTGTGTGTGTGTGTGTGTGTGTGTGTCGTCCAGTCGTATCTGGAGCCAGTGTATTTCTACATTTACACTGTGTTCTCGCTCCAAGCGGTGTATGTGATCGCTCTGTACCTCACAGCATGGCTCCTGTCTGGTTCCTGGCTGGCTGGCGTGCTCACTGGGGTCTGGTACATTCTCAACAGGTGGGTAAATGTGCGCTCATCATGTGTCTGTGAATTAGACGTTGAAATGGGGAGAGGGTTACGTCCCTATCAGACTTGCTCTTGACTCTGTAAATGTTGAGGCAAATTTACATGTCAGCACAAGATGAAGGTTTCTGCTTTGTTATTTTAGAGCTCGCATCCAGGTCAGTCACTCTCACAGCTTGATAAACTATACATTGTTTGAAATCACAAAATGTCACAGTTCTATCTGTGGAAACCATATTTTGTGTCATTTTTTTGCATTTTACATTTCACTAGTTTTTACTCAGTTCCTCATATGAATGTTTTGAACTTTTAATTTTTTTTTTTTTTTTACGTGTTATCGAGCTTGCTTTGCCATTTCTTTGTTATATATTTACTTCAGTATTTGTCATTAAGGATCAAGCCTTCCTTCAATACTTCCATTGTATGATTTTTCTGTCCACTGTTTAAATCTCTGGTCATATTGAGCTCAGTTTAAAGTTACTGTTATATGCTACCAGTTGTAATATATTTATGTGTCTGTATCACTTTTCAAGTTTTTATACTGTGTATTGGAGCAGTGAGGTCAAATTATATTATGGTTTCTTATACAGAAGGAAAAAAATATGTTTAATGAATCACTTCAGCAATGGAATTCTGTGAATGAGTCAGTTTTAATAGATGCTCTTTTTAAGTTAGATGTGAATATTTTTGAAGATGTTTTTTCACTAAGGATTCTTTTCCCTCATGGTTCAGAGGAAAGGAAAATAAATCGCCCTAAACAGCGCATCCCCTCTGAATGATGAAAATCCAGCAAAGTGCCAAATTAAGTGAAGCAGCATCATGTGAGCAGAATATGAATTTAGTGAGAGCCAAAACCTAACTTAGATGTGTTGCCCATCTTTTTACTGTAGCAGCTTGGACACAGTAAATGACACAACTGATGAGAAACTTTGCTGGATTCTTAATGATTTGATGCAGTTTTGTGTGGACAGGGTTAAAGAGTTTCATGCGGTTAATGACACTGCCTTCAGTTACATTTTAAATTCAATCAATCTGATTGATGACTGAATTTAAATATGGCTGAGTGCTTGGGACTATTACCAAAATCAAATCAAAGTTTATTTATGAAGCACATTTAAAAGAACCAGAGTTGACCAAGTGCTGTACAATAAAAACAAACAAATAATGCTAACAGTCAAAGCAAGGAGAAACAAAAGCATGGAGATGGCATTTGAGATGACTTAAGTATCTCAAGAGACAGACAGGGAACAGTTTGAAATAAAAACGCAGAGTTGAAAAGTCAAAAGTAGAACCTTGGGGACACTCAAAAGCCAGAGAAAAAAAATTCTAGAACCATCATGATTAGTATTAGTGGAGTAAAAGAGTGGGAAATTTGTTGTTATGATAAATGGGTTAAGGACTATTGTACACAGGGCAGCACTGTCAACCCTCTTCTAAGGAAAGCAGCCGAGGTTTGTCCAAAAAATTGCTAGATTTGTTGCTAGGTTCTTTTTTGGAAAAAAAAAAAAGTATCTAAATCTAGCAACAAATACATTAAGTTGGCAACACTATACAGGCTGTGAACGTCTGGGCAGTGCGTGGCATTCAGGTGGTGTAACTTGACCACTCAGTCAGTCAGTCACGGACATTTACGTTTATAGGGTGGGACCCGCTGTTGCGGTCCAGCCAAAAAGAAGTGTATAGAAAAATGTAGAATAAGTTAATTTCCTTAAATGTTGAACTATTCCTTTATGGTGTACTTGATATGTAGTGGGCATGAACATCTTTCTAGTTGTCTTTAATGTGAGTTACTGTGAGTTGTTTTTGGAAATGTGCCAAAAGTTGATATGAGTTCAGAAACTCTGCTGGTGTTTTCTCTGCGGTCCTTTTGGATCAATAGGCAAGCTGTGACCCCTGTAAACAGTGAAATGGAGGGTCACAGTTTTATAACTTCAGAAAAGTCACACAAAGAGCTACTGTGATCAAAGAGAAAACAGCAGAGTTTGAAATATATTAGTATTTCAGTTGAAACTAAATTGAACTTTGTATATTACAATGTACCTTTGTTGAGCTAAAATACATCATTACATTAGCTTGCTGTTACAGCAGCTATCAGTGAATCAGCTATTTAGACGTTAATGGATTCCTCTGGTTGCATCAACACACAAACCACAGGAAGTTGCAAGACAAAAAGTCAGCGCTGTATACTTCAAACTGTTTAGCCTCTAGTTGTGAGTTGAACATTTTTAATATTACATCAGTTTTTAAAATTTATTTCCACTATTTCTCCATCCCTTCCTTGCCCCCTCTTTCCTCCCTTTCAGGGTGGATACCACTCGTGTGGAGTTCACTATCTCCCTCAGAGAGAACTGGTCTTTGCCCTTCCTCGCGCTGCAGGTCACTGCAATCACGTGTTACCTCAGGCCTCAGCTCACCTCCTTACAGCAGGTATACACAAATCAAAGCTACTAATCATCCTCTACCACATAGATTGGCCTTGACTCGGTACACCCAACCTATTTGTTCAATGATCTGCTGTCTCTAAAAGAGCTAGCAGTACAGCAGGAATGACTATATGCTATTAGTATCCAGTTCAGGAATCTGACCCCAGTGTGTTTGTTTGTGTGTTTCCCTCCTTAGAAGGTGATGGTGTGGTTGATGTATGTGATGACATTCTGCTTCTGTCTGACGTGGCAGTTCAACCAGTTCATCCTACTTGTTCAGGCACTCATCATATACACCATGGACTGTGCTGACTTCTTAACAACTACACAGGTATTGCTAAAAGAAGGACCCTGTAAGGGTTAGCTCCAATGATGAATTATAACAACTGGATACCAGACTCCATAATGGTGCCCATTAAATTGAATGAAAATTGCATGCCAAGATCATGTGTCAAAAAGGTTTTCTAGCTTTTTAGTTTTTTTGTCTGGCCCACTGCACATGTGCATTAGCGTTTGTCCCTGTGGCCCTACCTACACAGTCCCACTCAGTACATAGCCTTTTTAAGACTTTGAGAAAGTTGAGCACATAAAATCATGGATTAAAATTTCACAATACAGAGAACTTGTTTGCAGTTCAGGTGTTAACAGTTTTATACACGTCTTTTTTATAATCGTAGTCTATGTGGAAAGTGTTTTTTGGGCCCCAGATAACATTTTTTTGCCGTTTATAGTACAAGTGGCCACTGGGACAGATATGCAGCAAGGCTGAGTGGTGGCACTGTATCCTGCTATCTTAATACAGTCATGGTCAGTTCACCCAAATTACAAAAAAGCAATATCTTCTCACATACTTTCAATATTATCTAGCCTTGCAGATAGTTTGCTCAGTTGTTGAAAAGTTTGTCTCTGAGATTTATGCCTTCACTCAAATACAATGGAGGTTCATGGAATTTAATTTGTGGTGGTCAATCTGAGAACGTAAATCTCCTCAGTTTTTGTGTAAAGAAATATAAACTGTCATGATACTGCAGCTATTGTACATATAGGTCCATTTATTCACAAGAGGATGAAAGTGTTTGTGGACATATTTGTAAGAAAATCACCTAAATCTCAGGTCTCTGGGTGTTTAGTTAGATGTGCTGTACACTACTGACGGTAGCATATCAGACTGTATAACCTACAAATGTTGATACAAGACATACAATAAATATATAAATGAAATACAAGACACACAAACATTACATATCAGCTTGCTTTAAAGGAGCTATTTGTAAGTTTTGCTATTGCTACATAGCTAGCGTTAGCATTAACAGCTGTTTACTTATCAGTCTTAAACGTTGCGATTTCAGCATCAAACTTTCCTTTACATTCCTTACTCACTGTAACTGTCTCCAGAGATGGAAAACAACGGCAACGTTTACTTTTTCTCTATATCATTTCTTTAGCACGCTAACCAGCTAGCCCCGGCCCCTCTTGTCACTTTCCGATAGCGACTCACTGTAGCCTGAAGACGTAGTGCTGCTCAGAGCTTCTTGTTTTGTAAACGCAACGATGGCTGAAGCTCTTGTCAATTATCAATCACCACCACCTGCTCCCAGCAAGAAACGATGTTAGGCGGCAGAGAAAACTTACAAACAGTCCCTTCAAGCCATCTGTCTATTCATGATATTTAACATTTGGGGGGGACCCATTGTGTTGTGAAGATTGCATCCACTCAAAAAGTGGAAGCTAGCAAGCTAGGCTAACAAGCTTCCACTTAGCTTACTTGAAGAAGAATAATTAGTATTTTTGCCAACATTGGCAATGGAAGCATACTCCTCCCTTGCTGGTGTCTGTAGTCATATGACATAGAGGATACTGGCTGATATAAAACAAGTAAATGCTTACATTTTAAAGGAATACACCATCTTTCAAAGCAACATTTCAAAACCATGGTGATATTATCAGACCTACAAATCTCACCCAGTTGTTTTGCATCACTGTGTTGTTTTTCTAGGTGACCACTCTGTACCTTGTTCAAGTGAGTGGTCTTCTGAGTGTGTGGCTCCTCCAGTTCTGCAACTCCATGATACTGGGATCACTGGTCCTGAGCTTCATTGTAGCTGCGCTCTTCATCAGACACTGCCAGGTTAGTGTGTGTGTGTGTGTAGTCTGACTCACAGGATGTAGACTGTGGGTATAAGCCTGCCATTGACCCCTTGTCTCATGTGGCAATCCCCTCCCCCTCCGCTATCTGCCTGTTACTGTTTTCAAAATCCCCATCACTATGGGAAACAACAACAACCTCAAAGCTAGCAACCGACACGCTGAAAATAGCATTGTGCAACCCCACATTTGACATACTGTTGGTCTTTTACAGTACCAGAACAAGTTCTCCTCAACACTATTTTGCAGGGACACCATCCTGCGCGTAATGCCACCCAACACGATTGTGATTGGTTTAAAGAAATAAAAACAAGCTAGAACATGTTTCCCTGTATAGCATAATGATAATGTGTGCAGCCAAACCATTCTCCAGCACATAGACAGCCCTGTTGAGATAAAGTAGGTCTGGCTGTGTGTGTGTGTGTGTGTGTGTGTGTGTGTGTGTGTGTGTGTGTGTGTGTGTGTGAGATACAGAGAATAAAAGTAGAGTTGAAAATCAGAAAAGGCAGGAATATGTAACATTAATAATTAATATCACATGAAAAGTGAATCAGAGTCTCACAGAAAAAGATCCAGACAGTGGTGGTAGCCTGCTTACAAAACACAGATGCAAGATTAACCTGCACTGATGTGAGGAGGCCTGTGCTGTATTCAGTTTTTGCAGAGGATAATTCCAATTTGTATGCTGGAGACACATATTTCTTTTAGGTCCAAATCTAATCTAGTTAAATCAGATCTTATCACAGTAGCAATTACAGAAACATTTAATGTGACAGAATGAAAGAGGAATGGAAGGAAAGATGGAGGAAACAGGGAGAGAAAGATTTCACTTTCACGGGCATGTATAGATTATTCTAACATGTTTAGAAGTGTGGACTGGAGTCATGTGACTTGGACTCAAGTCAGACTTGAATTATGAATGTGATGGAGTTTCACGCCAACAACTCGTGACTTTACTTGGGCTTGAACCCTCTGACTTGGAATGACTTGAAATATTAAAATTTGTCATAAACAAGTGTGCAGTGTATCAACTTGTCATCTTCCTGACAACAGATTGAACTTTGAATCAGTGTAACGGCAGCCAATCATGTTACACAAGCAAGAGGGAAAGATGTATTTAGCCATGCAGACCAGCACATTATCACTTGCAGACCAGCATTTCAGGGAAGCAAATTTCTAATTTTTTATCTTTGTGCTGGTTTAAATGAAAAACATCTTCAAAAACAAATTACAGCTCTTGAGTGTCAGTGGCTGAAATGAGAAGGTTGGCTGCTGTCCTGTTAATGTGCAAGCTGTTTTCTGTGCTTGTAGCATAGTTAGACGAACAGTGGCAAAACTTCTCTAGTGAAAAGATCTGGCTGCTTTACATTAGCTTCAGTTAAACTTTCATTCATATCATTCGATATTAAATTAATCAACTGAATAGTTCTGAATCAGAACCTTAGAACAAATAGCTCATGAAAAATGGTTTATCCCAACTCAGTAGGCTATAGTTGTTTTTTCAGTGTGTCAGATACATATTTAATCATCATTTCATATCTTCTCCTCTCATTGTCAGGTTTTGAAAGGTTGTGACCAAACGGTGATGTTTCTGTCTTCTCAGCCTGCAAAATTTTGTATTTATTTATTAACTTGATAACTAGACAAATGTTGATAGATGAAGACAAATGGATTCAAGAAGTCATTCAATTTTTTTCTTTTTTTGAAGAGTGCATGGTGTCTTAGAATTCAAAACACAAAGTTTAGTTAGACTTGACTTGTGGGAGATTGACTTTAAACATCTCTGGGTTAATGTGGCTTGTTAATATTTTATCACCTGATAATATTGTTGGCCATGGCAGACAGTGTCGGTGTTTAATATCTTGATTAACATAGAGATGCATGTACCTAACACCATGTGTTTGCAGGTCAAATTTCTAAATGTCAAACTGCATTGAGAATAAAACAGATGTACTCACTAATCTCTGCTTGCTGTCTGATCACACAGTCTGGTCTGAAGACAGGAAGCCTGCTAGTTCGTCTGGGCAAACTGCTTCTCCACAGTGCCATGGTTCTCCTCCTCACCTTCACCATCAACTACCTGGCCAAGGTGCTTCTCTTCTTTCTTCGCTTGCTTCTGTCCTTCCTCTCTCACTCTCTCCTCCCTGTTTCAGTCCTCATTCCTCCTTTCCTTTACCTTGTCGTTCATTTTTCTTCCTGTCGCCTCTTCTCTTATCCTCTTGTGTCTTTTCCTTTCACTATCCCCCTCCTTTCCTCTCTCCAGCTTCTGTCCATCCATATCTCCTCTTATCTCCTCCCCTGTCTGCTGTGCTCTTTCGTTTTCTTTTTATGCCTCCATGCTGGTGACAGCTGAGGCTGGAGGCATTTTGGGTTGTCCGTTTGTCCATACATCTGTCCCATTCTAGTGAATGTGATATCCCGAGAACAACAAGAGGGAATTTCTTTAAATTTGGCACAAACGCTCACTTAGACTCAATGATGAACTGATTAGATTTTGGTGGTCAAAGGTCAAGGTCACTGTGACCTCACAAAACCATGCGGTAGCCTCCACTGCCCTGCAGTTCCTCAAATAGCTAATTGAGGCTGGCTCCAAAAGCGAGTCAGTCCTGGTACAAAAAACGGTTTTAGCTGATTTCTCCCTTCATGACAACTGACTGGGGAGTCAACTCACCCATTAGATTTTATGGCTTAAAGTTATGCTTAATTTAGGGTTTGGCCGCTTTGAGTGAGAGGTGGGTGAGTGCATGCTTGTCACAAACCGGCGTGGACCGGAGTCTCGGCTCCACACACACACCCCACCTCTTTCTCCATTTTTCGATCAGCTGGGAGTTGGGTGGAGTCAGGCACTGCCAAGATGGCTCATTCTGAACTTCAAAACCACTCTTTAGAAACCTATGGGTGACGTCACCGATGCTCCGTCCATCTTTATTTACAGTCTATGCACAAAACACAGTTTTGGCCTCTTGAATGTGATATCTCAGTTCGGGCTTGAGGGAATTTTTTGAGATTACGCATAAACATTCACTTGGACTCAAAGATGAACTGATTAGAATTTGGTGGTCAAAGATTCACTGTGACCTCACAAAACGCATTTTTGGACATAGCTCACAAATTCATACACTAATTCTGACGCAATTTAACACAAATATCTAGTAGGATAAAACAATGAAGCGATGACATTTTATAACCAAATGGTCAAAGGTCAACTTCACTGTGACATCTAAATATTCTGTAAACACACCTCTAGCTATTTTTCAACCTATAACTCAGGAAGGAGACACTGTGACCATATTTCCTGCCACTTGGCTGGTTGGTGGAGGCTTACAACCACAATTGTGTTAACTCAAAATTTTTCTCGTACCTCTCGTCTCTCCCTCCCCTCCACTCCTGTTTCTGCTCCTCCCTTTCTTACTTTCTTCTTACAGCTGCTTCACCCCTCATGTCTTACCCCTGTTTCACTACACTTTCCCACCCACACCCTCCCCCTGCTGCAGCCCTCCTCTCCTCCTCCTCCCCCTGATGTATCTAAAGTTAGTAGTTCTGATGTGAGCTCACTGTATGATCTCAGCTCGGTTTATTTACTTTTTTATACATCTCAGCACGCGGATCTTTAGCCCTAACAGGATTACCTTGTGTGTGTGTGTGTGTGTGCGTGTGTGTGTGTGTGTGTGTGTGTGTGTGTGTGTGTGTGTGTGTGTGTGTGTATGTGTGTGTGTTCACAGAAAGTACTTCAGCTCAGATCAGACGAGCACATCTTCAAATTCATCAAGTCAAAGTTTGCCTTGGGGCCAACAAGGTATGAACGCACACTCATACGTACACGCACAAACAAAGATTCATGTGCGTCTGTTCTTGAACACAGTCGCACAACACTTTTATAAACCCATATTCTGGCATAGGGACATGTTCCCACACAGTGCATACACAAAGTCGGCACACTTCTTCACTTGATCCAGCTTGACTGTATTATTCACTAAGCACCCATGTTGTAGCACCTGCAGTGTTAGTGTGTGTGAATAATAGATGTCGGGGTAATGCCAACAGGCCTCCCATCGATCAGATACTGTGTGTGTGTGTGTGTTGAGCAGCTCAGCCACTGGATAGCTGCCTCGGGGTGGCAGATAACACAGCTCACAACCTAACGCCACACAACTGGCCCTTCAATTATTCAGGAGGCTGTGGAAAATGCAATGCTTACACTACACTCTATCTCTCTTCCTGTTTCTCTCGCTCGCTGAGATTTCTTTCTGCTCTCCAGCTGTGTCTTCTTTTTTATTTTTTTATTTTTTTTTATCTCTCAAGTTTTGTTCTATGTTTTGTGATATCTCATTTCTCAATTCAATCACTTATCAGCACGGCTTTGTATCATGTTTATACTTTATATTCACGCCACACTGAGATAATAAACTTCTTTTTCAAAACATTTGTGGACAAATGTTTGTAGAGCACAAACGTTTAGTGAGCAAAGTCATGCGTGCTTAGCGTGCACACAACCTACAGAAACTTCCGCTTCATCAACACATTTCTCTAACCCCCTTCCCACCGCCTCGCATTTGTTTCCTCCTCCTGCAGGGACTTTGATGCCAGTCTGTATCTGTGTGAGGAGGCCTTCGGCTTGCTGCCCCTGGATACACTGGAGCGACTGGCTGGTACCCTCCTGCTGTACCCCTACATCCTCACGCTGCTGCTGCTCATTGGCATGTTGGTAGTGGGCGCACTGCAGAACTTGAGGTAGGTAATGGCCGGATGGGACACGAAAGAGGGAACATGGGAGGAGGGGGAGAAAGTGTCCTCATAAAACTTTGGAAAATCCTCGCTGTCACATGCTTGGAAGATGTATATGGTATTACACCAATAATATTCAAATGAATCAGACAGTTTGAAAGTATAATTTCCCCATTGTGTCTTACTCTTCTATCCATTCTGTTGATGTTAATTATTGAATTAATTATTGGCAGTTTGTGATCTCCTCAATCTGCCCTTGTCTGTTTACAACACAACCTGAAAGCTAATGACCAGTCTTGTATGAGGTTTGTGGGTGTATGGCCTTTCTTTTATATCACAACCTTCAAGCCAACCTTTATCTTTTTGCAACTCACTTTTTTTACTGCTCAGTTATGTCTTTCATTATCTTATAAGTGGTCAGTCATGTATCCAGGATAATGTTGACAGAGCGAAACAGCCAATCAGGATGATTATTAAGTGATTATTATCAAGATTATTAGACAGCTGTAGGGAACTCCTCAGTTGTCTGCAGGTGTTTTGTGCCTCTGTGCAGTTGAAAAGCCTTTTTTTCCTTTTGAAGGATTGCAACCTGCAAATTGGTATCATCAGTGTGTTGCTCCCAGACACAGCAGGCAGCTGTTTTTCGCTGAAAAAGCTGCCGACCACCTACACTGTCTGCCCAGCACCAAATGAAAGACAGACAAAGATAGTTTGTGAACTTGGTGGAGCATTTAGCAGCTAAAGACCAAGATATTTCCCTCAGGAATTAGTGGAGAGCAAATTAGAGCTAATAGTGAAACGAGTGAATATTGGACTTTCGTGAATAGAAACAGGATTCCAAATGAATACTGATGTTGCTCTGTGTCTGCTTGATGTGTAAATAGGCAACTATTTGCTAACAAGTTCATCATATGGATTAAAAAGGTGATGGCATGTCAATGTTGTGTTTACAGCTTGTTTCAAAAATCAGTTAATGCAGATTTCAGATGTTTTAGGATTGAAATTATTATTGTAATCCTTCATAACCATTCCACATTAACCTAATTTTACACAGTGACCATTTACTTTTCCAGAAAATCTGTATTGAATCAATGACAGTTCATCCACTTCTGCAGTCTTTATTGTAAACACTACATGCTAGTTGACACATCCATTACTAACAATGTAGAAGGAAGAACATTAGTGTTGCCAGTTAACCTGCATGTCTTTGGACTGTGAGAGGAAGCTCTGGTACCAGGTGGGAAGCCACACCTGCACAGGGAGAACATGCAAACTCCACACAGAAAGACCCCAGGTCGAACCCAGAACCTTCTCTCTTTGATGCATCAGTGCTAACCACTGAACCACCGTGTCGCCTGAGAAGGAAGCACAGACGATAAAACATAAATTCTATTAGTCAGTATGCGAAATTGAAAACATTTTAATTTATTTGTAACTCTTCTCATTTAGAAACGACTAATTGTTCCATAAAGTGATAGCTCACATTACACCTTGTTTCAGCTATATTTAGTATTTATATTTAGTATTTCAAATTTGACAGCAATGAGCATGTTAGTGTGTTTCCTTGGTAGGAGACGCTGATCAAAGGAGCTAGTGAAGTGTAAATGAATGGGGAGTTTCAGTCCTTCCAGAGAGCAAAGGGAGTTTCATCTGAGAGGAGGACATCAGAATGGCTATCAGGAGGCAGAAACCCAGTCACAGTGGTTGCTTCATGCTCTGAAAAACATTTTACCAGCTGCCTCTCAAAGCTTCATTTGCCTGTGGGGCAAGGTGAGGGGCCACATTGAACTAAACACATTAGCATATCATCTCGCCCTCTGCCGTTGGAGGGCTGGAATACTAACCTTGTAGAACAAAGGGCTATTTGGCAATTCAGGAAATAATTTAATTCAGTTTACCCCACCTCACATAGAAGGAGACTGGATTTGTATTCAAATGGAAGCCGAAGTTTGTCTGATTTGGTGCGGGAGGCCAAATTGTGGGAGTGACATCATTGCCCTTGGGCCTCTCTCTGTTTGTCTGTGCGCTGACTCCTGCAGACAGAAATGGTTGTGGGCATGCATCCATTGTGTGTCTGCTTGTGAGCAAAACAGCTAATAAAGTCTGAATAACAGCTACTGAAATCTGAATAATCTGAATAATATCAATTACACCCACCTTACCCCTCTGCTGCTCTTCTCAAGCGTCTGGCTGTAATGTTTTATGTATCGCTGTTGCCTTGTGTTTGGATGCCTTGATCTTCAGCAGGTCTAAAGGAGGTTCAGCTGAGGAGAGGAAAGGAGCTGGAGAGGGGCGCGCGACGGCTTTTCGTCCAGATGTGGCCTATAATGTGTTGCATACACTGTTCTACGGTCTCCTCGCTTTCAGCACTATGAGGTGAGCTCATTCTCGCACACCCAATACTGTAATTGCAGGATCATGTATATGCAGATACCTGGATTCCCACACATTGCCAAGTACTCACATGGGTTTAACTCCCAGGGACTCTTCAGATGGACTTTTCCTCTTGACAGCTTGATTGCATGGGCTCGTGGAGCAGATGCTAAAATCTGAGTGCCTGTTAAATGCTTTTCACCAAGTGTTTGAGTGGTCCACTTTAGCCTTGAGCAACCTTCCACACCAAGTGCCATCCTGCGACGCTTTAGGCTCTCAGGTAGTGACTCCGCTCACAGCAGGAGCAGAAAGAGTGGACACAGTTGGACAACTGGTCATTTACACTCTGAACCACACTGTATGCTTGACACCCTGAAACTTGAACGTGTCAAGGCTCATAGTTATTTGTGCTACGCAAGGCAAAAGAAGAACACAATTGACCCTTTGTTACTCTTGCTACACCGGTCAAAATTGCACATATACAGTTTACAATGATACTGGTGACAGATTTACCATGAAAAGCCCTAGTAACTTTTGAAAGAATGGGTCTTTGATTTCAGGCTGCAGAAACCTTAGTTATAATACTTAACTTTCCTAGATTAAAATGTCTAAAAACAACTAGGACAATGTTATGTGTATTTTTGAGGTGTGTTCTTACATTATCCCAAATGTTTACAACAATTCTCAAACCAAGAGAAATTTGTAATTTTAATCATGGTAACAGTGCGTTTCATTCGGTCGCTTGTCAATTACGTCATATTCCCTATGTGCATGTGTCAGCGTTGTGGTTGTCTGACAGAAGCTAAAAATTTGCTTTTATTTAGTTTGAATCCACATTTTTAAGATTTTAAAACACTTTTTACACCGTGGTCATTTTTATCTATGTATTTTAACCAGATGAAGGATTTTCAGTCATTAGACGTCTTAAGTCGTCAGAGAAAAAAGTTGCACAAATGTGATGCAGCTCAGCTCCCAGTCCCTCCGAGACATCCTTTGTCTGCCAGATAGTGTTGGTGAATCACTGATTTTTATTGTGAAACGGCTGTTTTCAGTGTTTCTACCGGTTTTAATCCCCTGGTCCATTTGTTATGGACAGAATGATACCTCTGGATAATTCGGCTGCCTGTAAAAACGTTATCAGAGAAACGATAGGAACAGAGGTTAGCAGCAGTGTCAGCTCCCAGCCCTTCCCTGACATCCTGTGTCCACCGTATAGTGTCGACGAAAACACTGACTTTAAATGTGAAACTGCTTTATTCAGTGCTGTAACTGGTTATAATCCCCTGGTCTGTTTGTTTTGGAGAGGAGGAGACCTCTGTGGATGCAACTCCCAGTAAAAACTTCCTGAGAGACCCCCAGCAGCAGAGGTTACATACTGTGCATTTAAGCAGGCATCTCGCTCGTAACCAGGGTCCTGTTGATTTTGTAAACATTAGCCCCCTTAGTTGGTTGAAAACACCTCTTCCAATTAACCTTAAATGTTTTCATCTGAATCGTTTTTTCAAATGAAAATCTTATGAAAGAAGTTGTAAATATGCACTTGATAGCTACAGACATGTTATCATGCTGAAAGACTGAGGCTAAGGCTTTGCTTAGCTTCCCAGACAAAAAGGCAGCATCCTCACTAGATGATGAACCACGTAGAAGACATGGAAACAAAGAAGCAGTATTATTCTTGTATTGCCGTGTAAAGATTGTTAATCTAAGTGTCATGAACCGGGTGTTTTTGTTCTTTTAACCTGTGACCCCACAATCTAATGAATTAGCTCATGATGTGCTCCTTGGCTCGGGAAGTAAAGCTTGGTTACTACTGTAGGTAGTGAGCTACTTAATTGTAGCAGGTTACTGTAGAGCAGATAAACATACTGTGAAATTTATTAGCTTTATTACTTTAGCTCTTGCGTTTTTGTTTCTGAAGGACTAGAAAAAGATGCCACACTGTTTAAATGAGCATCTCTCTGACTACAGCTCCATTCACACTACTTCAGCATTGCAGAGAAATCCAAACCCTTGGTTACTTCATAACACAATTTATTTATGTATTAATAGATACTGTGTGTAAAGCACCACTATGAGCTAATTTGTAAACCTCCAAGGATGCTGAGGCCACATCCAACGCAAAGTTGGGAGGGCTCTTGACAGAAGAAGAAGGAGTGTGCCTCTGTTGAAAGTGTGACCCACATGTGCTATATTTTAGAGTCAGTGGGAAATGGAAGCACCAGAAGTGAGGTAGTTGTCCATTGAGCCTGAGGCTGTTCTGCTTGTTTTTTGGCACAGTCACTCAGCCAGGCATACTACTTTATGGGTTCAGGGTTTAAATCCAGAGCAGATGACTTTATTTCCTGGGTTATGAGAAGCATGTTGTTGGTACACCCTGAGCCCTTTAATGTATTACGCATTGTTTATACATTTTTCCCAATCTTTTTCTTTTTGTGCTGATTGTAATTTTTCTGTGTCAGCTTGTAAGATATGCTTCACTGCTGCTGCACAGTTGCTGTTTATTTAAATATAATCAGAAGTAAAAAAAAAAAAATGGTATGGCAATATGTTTCAACTGTAAAATATTTCATCTTGCGTAACATTCCTCATCCTCACTTAGCCCCATTAGCCTTCCCTTTCACATTTTCCTTGCATTTTTATGTTGTTTCTCTTGCACACATACGCTATGGCCTGTTTCTCTGGTTGACCTAACTGCATCATCCATGGGCAGGTTCTGTCACTGGTGCCACAGAGCCCTGTCACCGGCACCTGCACCCAGGCTGAACAGAAATATCTTTTCTTGTGCTCGACTTTCACATCCAGCCACCTCTTCCTAATTTCCCAAAATGTTTCGCCTCTCTGCACTGGCAGCTTTTACTGCTGCTGTGACATGCTGGCTCTTGACAAATTTGCTCTTATTGGTCACACCACAACTATTACCACCAAACAATAAGGGCTGACTGGCCTCAACCTCTGCAACAATTGCCTTGATTTTCCACACAGTGCAGTCTCTATTTTTTGGTCGTAGTCTGTGCTCTCAAGTTTCCTTTGCAGAGTTATTTTTTTGTTAGTCTTAAACCGTTTGTAATGTTTAAAGATTTATCTTAATGTTTAAATTTGTTATTATTTAAATATGCAAACATAGAACATGTACATGTATCAAGGATCACACAGCATATGTAAGCATCACATTGCTCCATCCTATTTGAGATCTATTAGTATAGGCATTTCAGACATAGGCACTCAAATAACCTCATTTCCAAATGTTTAGATTTTTGATGTTTAAATCTTTGATGTTTCAATATTTTCCAGTTCCACTGTAAGGCATTGTAGCAGTTGTGTAAGAACCCCCCCTCAATATAGCTTTTGTTGACATGCAGTGGTTGAACTTCTCAAATTAATGTAGTGAAGAAGAACATGATATGAGATAGAAAATTCCTTTCTTCACCCACTGTCTTGTACACTTTTTACACCAAAATTAGCGGGTATAAGCAGGTTTTTTAAACACAGGTAAACCCACTAAAAATGGACTTATTTTACACATCACCACATGTAGTTACAGAGCATATGCACACACAGATGCAGGGGAGAAAGAGTTAGCTACTAGCCACTGTGAAAGCCAGTAAAATTTGTGGCATGTCATCCCCAGGTTGTGACAGAGCCCCTGTGTGAGATGCTTCAATTAGTGATCGTGTGTTCTTGAAACTTATTTCGGGGCTGCAGCTCACTCTTTCATCCCTGAGCACAGTGTAGCCACGGTGTTTCTGGTTTGACAGCACCATGCCGGGCAGGTGACAGGTCTTTCACAGGTCAATGCTGATTGGAGCTGATAAATACCCACGTCTACTGCAGAGTCATTTGACCTGGGAGTAAATTACGGTTATTCCCTTGTTTCATTGCTGACAAAAGCCAGATGTTAGCAGGTGTTAATGTGTTTTTTGACCAGTGTAAAAGGGTTTTTACCTTTTCATTTATACATATATATATATATATTTGAAGCTTACTGCTTTGCGTTTTGGGTTTCACAAACACAGAACTGCACAGTAGCATGTCCTTTAAAAAAAAGCGCTTACTGAGTGGTATACAGTATTACATTTGCACATTGCCTTATTGTTACCTCCGAAGTGTCACACATCTAAAACTCCCTGTGGTGTGCAGTTTTTCCCATGTCACACACAAGCACGACTCCCAGGCCTGACTCCAAACTTTCATCTGTAATTGTCGAGTGGTACTCGTTGCGAGCATCATCACTAAATTTCCTGGGCTGGCACGTTTCAAGCTGCAAACATCATCTGCTGTGCTTGACATCCATGATTCATTATTGTGAAAGTATAATGCCTTTAACTTTAGGCTCTTTCTGAGGAGTTTTAAGAAAATCACGGAGATTACAATTGGAATCATCACTGCTTTTGCCTGTATTAAAAGAAACCTGCAATTACGCAGTCAAAAAGAAAAAGGTAATGTTCTGCTATCTGGGTTATTCATAGAAACACGGAGATGCAGGTTTTCAAAGGTTCACATAAGTGGCTAAGTGGCTTCATTTGAAGGTAGTTTTGAGTGCAGTATAATCAGTAGCTGGGTTTCTCTGTGCATGTAAATGTTGCGCATTATGTTCATGTGGTAATCGGAGTGCATGTTACATACAGTATATTTAATACATGGAGTCTGTACAGTGCATTCCTGTTAGAGTCAGGAATTAAAGAACTGATTGAATTCACACAAAACAGAAAAATGTGAAAGCTTTTAACACAGCAGTAGCAGCCAGGTGGTGCAGAAAGTGACACATTTGATTTCAGCACTTGCTCTAAAATGCTGATTAAGAGCAAAAGGCCAAAAGTGCAGAAAGCCATTTGTTTCTGTCAGACAGCTCCTTTGCATTAAAAAAAAGTATTGAGATTTATTTCTGTGAGGCTGCACTTCTTTATGCCCCCCCCCCCGCTCATGGCTCGGTCTCTGTACCTGTCAACAGTTTTTCAGCTCATTTCATTCTCTGTCTTCTCTCTGCTGCTCACTCCTCCCTGGTTAATCTTTTTCCCATTAGAACTGTAATGTGATTTGAATCAGAAAAGATCTTGGGTAATAGTGTTGTGTTTTAGACACTAAATTAAGTTTAACCATATTGGATCCATTAAATTATACTAAGCTTAACAAAACTACTAAAGACGTTCTGGTTGTCATGTTTTAATTTCATGTTCTTTACTGGGTTGAGGGAACATCCTTAAAGTGTCAAATTTAAAGAGCAACAACAATCGATATTGCCTCTCTCCCACCCTCCACCCAGGATGAAGTATATATGGACTGGCCATATGTGTGCGGTTGCAGCCTATGGCGTGTGTGGGACAGAGCTGTGGAATCCACTTCTCACCACTCTACGCTGCAACAGTAAAGTCCTGGTAGGAGCTCACAGCTGCACTCCAAACATCTGCTTTGAACACTCTTTTCACCACACAGGATGTTGGTTTTTAAAACTGATTTATAATGTGAAAGATGTTGCTGGTAGCAATGAGCATAACAGAGTTATCAACTGACAACAATCCCCCTCATTTAGCCTCTTTTAGCTCATTGTTTTGGGTGTTCTTGCCCATAAACATGACTCCAAATAAATGTTATATTACATCAGATGTTGTATTTTATGTACATATGTTCAGCATCACATTACCACACTCCTGCACAAGTAAAGAACAGTTTTAACACATATTCAGATATTCACAGTATCACTGGGAAAACGGCAGTTCAGTTATCATCCTGTCACCACAATGTGCAAACACACCTCATAAAAATGTTTTTAGCAAGTAGGAAGACATTTGGGGGATTGGACTGATCTTCTATTCACAGACCACCTTTTCTAACCCTCAGTTCATTTTCTCTGACCCAGCAGAAGCTTCTGTCAAATGATAATTAGCAGCCAGATCATTAAATGAAAACTAGGGGTGTGATATCATTTGAAATGTTTAAATACAAGCACACAATGTTTGAGTTTCATATCATTACTGTTTTGTATTGCTATAAAATCATGCTTTCATTTAAGTGTATCAGTGTCTGAAGAGAAGCAGAACCTTTCCTACAAAAATGCCATTTAAATGGACTGATTATTTGGATCAGCAAATATTGGATTAAAGAATAAGTAAACAAGACTAAGACTCTTTTAAACTGAAAACTTACATTTTCGTCATTTCTCAAAGTATTTAGGCTGATATCCAGTATTAGTGACAACCAGCATTATGTCCATCACCGGGCTCCAGTGAGCATCGGATTGATCTCCAACTCTGACATCTAACTGTGAGACATTTTGGAAGATGTCTAATTACATTATGCTGCCTAATGAGCAGTTGGATTTGAATCCACAGCCTCTGCTCTGGCCTGATGGTAACGTTACGTGTGAGGCCACTAGGTGTCAGTGTGTTCCCAACATGACAACAGCATGCATCAGATAAGAAATGATACATGGGAGCACCGCTGCTCTGCCTGTCTTTTATCTCTGTGTTATCTCATTCTGAAGCTTGTCTTCATTTTTAGGTATGTCTCTGAATCTCACTTTCTCTGCCTCTGATACGATTATATTCTCTCATTTCATTATGGCTGTTTTCTTTCTCTTGTTTTGCAGTTAAGGCTTGTCAGATATGCAGTTCCACTGGCAATGATGTGCTGCCTATATTACAAGGTATGCTGTTTTCTTGCTGGTTTATGTTCATCACTCTATTGTTGGTCTCGTTTCAGAGCCGAGTCAATTTGTGCAAAGCGTGTGCGACGATATGAGAAAAAGGGAAAATGCTGAAATGGAAGTTGCAGAAGAAAATGATAACAAGCAAATGGGTCATAACAGGATTCTAAAACGACTGCTTCCCTTTAATTTATTTTGCCATTGGAAGGGTCTAAATGACTGTCACATCCACTCTTATGTACAGTGCAATAATGAGATGTTATTTAAGTCATATCAGTAGGTGTCCTATTCTGCTTCACAGCCTCATTGAACACTAACATGCAGTTCTCCATCACTCATCTCTGTTCCCTTTTAGTTCTGGCCTAAGCTGATGGAGGAGTTATCAGAACTGAGGGAGTTTTATGATCCAGACACTGTGGAGCTCATGACCTGGATAAGGTACACACATGCACACACACAGACCCACACACCCATACTCACGAATCTAGAGCACATATCAAATTGAAGCAAATCTGATTAGCTTGTTTCCGCAGATCAAGTTTCACTTTGCCTGATGCCCTTGATTAGTCTGTGTGAACGTGCATGTGTGTATACATGTGTATCTGCACTTGTTTGTGGGGGAGTCTCGCCGATGAGTGATGAGAGCCGATGGGTCTCCATGAATAAGACATGGGGGGGCTGGAAAGGACCCAGCTGTTGGCAGAGCTCTAACCCACCTCGGGGTCTCTGTGGCTGGGCTTTCAATCAAGAGCATCAGCCTGATGGGATCAGAGATGGAACTGTGATTTGGAATGGCTTCGTACCGCGGCCGCTGTGTGTGTTTTTGTGTTTGCACATCTGTGTGTGTGTCTGTCATTTTCATCAGGTTGGATGTGGTGCGTTGGCTTTAGCAGTTCATATTGCGTACCATGTAAGAGTGCAACACATCACATCACATGTAGACTGCACTTTCAATGTTTCTTGTTACGTTTCCCTGTTAAATTCCCTCATGGATTATCCATCCATCCATTACCTATACCGCTTATCGTTTTAGCGTCACAGGGGCGGCTGGAGCCAATGCCGGCAGACATTGGGTCAGGGGTGGGGTACACCCTGTACAGGTGTATCACAGGGCTGACATACACACACAAACAATCATTCACACTCGCACTCGCATTCACGCCCAGGGGCAATTTTTAGTGTCGCCAATTAACCCAAACTGCATGTCTTTCAACTGTGGGAAGAAGCCGGGTCACCCGGAGAGAACCCGTGCAGGCACGGGGAGAACATACAGGTGAACCCCACCTCACCAGCCGGGGGCCGGTGAGGTGACAGTGCTAACCACTTGACAACTGTGCCGCCCCATATGTGAAATATTCATCTCAAAATACAAAATAACTTTACATAAAGTACTTGTCTTATAGAAAGTAGTTCTGTGTAACATCCTTGGAAAGTAAAAAGTTGGATTATTAGTATGGGTATCGAACCTGCTTTGTGCAGTATAGGTGAACATGTAGATTGTGAGTTTTATGTGTGATTTTAATTTGGAAGCCTTGTTACACCAAGAGTGCTCCCTCCCACACGCAGACAGAACCTGTGTAAGATAATGGAGATTTTCAACAGCTGTATATAATTTTTTTTTTTCAAAGTTAAAAATTGTTACTGTTTCCATGTTTTTCTTAATGTTTCAATAACTGCAAACTCAAAAAAAAAAGTTCAAAAGTGCAAAATTAGAGTTTAGATTTATGTCTTTCCCATAGATGGTCACTGTAGTTCACTTCTACTCTGAATAAGTAATAATTCAAAGCTCATTATTTCCACCCCATCATCATCAGCATGATGAAACTGAGTGGACCAGATGCGATTTTTAAGAAATGGCCAATTTTGGTCTAATCCTATTAGACAGATAGGGGGGAGAGAGAGAGAGAGAGAGGGAGAGAGAGATGGATAGCGAGACCGAGAAGGAGAGGTCGGGATTTTGAATGTATTTGTGTGTGACATGGGTTCCCTTCCCTCTGGAGCTAATCCCATTAGGCTCTGAGGATTAGGGGCTGCCTAGAGTTACCTTGGTTGGGGCTGAGAGCAGGGCGGAGCACAAAGCTTCTTGCCGCTGCGCTAATTACATTCCAGATGAAAGTGTGAAGATGAGGAAGGGGTGGTGGTGGTGGTGGTGGGGGTGGGGGTGGAGGGTATGTAATGCTGTATTCTCTAGCTGACTGAGGCTGAGGCTTTTTTGTTTTATGTGGAAAGATCACGGAAGATTATCAAACATAACAAGGGGCAGAACAAAGATAGATACATGCATATAGAAAAGAGAGTATGTTTCTTGGCCGGCTTGCATATTTATGTAAAGCTGTCAGGGTCTCATTGTGGTAATTTTAGCTGCAGGGGATGTGCTGTAAGTATGAATCATGTTCAAATGATACAGGTTGAAAATGTTTTGAAAGGGATCTAATGTGGCCTGTTGTTGAAATCGGAGAAAAATACAGATATAAGGGGATATCTATGTCTTGTCACAAGTGTGTCATTTTATAAATGTCTTTAATAAGGAGAAAATGTTTAGGAAAGTCCCTCAAAATTTTCCAAGTCTTATTTCTACAGAGTATCTAACAACAGAATTAAGATTAGGTTTAGCAGAGGATAAAGATGTTTGTTTAAAAGATGGATTTGGAGGTTTAGGATTAGATTAGCGGTAAGAAGGCCCTCACAGGAGCTAATGATACATGTCCTCATGAGTTTAGAAATGTATGTTAAGACGGGTTGATGAGGGGATTATCATAATTCTCTGGGCAATCATTCATGACCCTGGGCTTCACAGGCTTGAAGGTGTAGGTCACTGTGATAACAACAGGTAGAGGTTTGTCTGTATTTTTCACAACCATAATTCACAAGCTCCCACTTGATAACAGCGGTGGCACCTCAGCTCAGCTCTAGGTTGATACTCTGTTCCAAATGGACAGTCAATAAATCAATAGCCTGGTCATTCCACTGCCTCCAACTCTGAGTTATAGTTGTGAGTGCGCAGCTTTTAAGGTCACTAATATCACTTTTGTCTAACCTCTCTGCTTCTTCCTCGTTCTGTATCTTCACCTCTTTTAACAAACTCTCATTTGCACAGTTGTGTTGCAACAGCAGTACGGTGTAAGTCAGGCAGGGCTAATAAAAATTAAAGAAGTGATTATTTGCAGTAGCTTCATTGCTCTGCTCTCTGACTTATGAACTCAGTGCTGGGCAGGAGGAGTTCAGTGCAGTGCAAGTGTTACATGGGCTGCACGGGGAGGAGCAGCATAAGGTCAGGAACATGTAATATAAACAGACTATCAGCTCTCACAGATAACCACAGTCCACGGTACACTGCAGTCTGAAGCTGGAGTAGTGAACAAAGCTGATGATTGTTCTTTTGTGTTTACCTTTTCATTGGCACAAAGAATTTGATATTTGCAAAATATATAGCAGTCACTTGTTTTCTCTCATCATACATATTTCACCAAATAAAAAGGTCAGTCTTGTGTGGATCTGCATCTCAGTAGCCTGAGCTAATATTATTTTCTTATTTTGAAAGATTCCTTGTTTTTTTCCCCTCCTCCACCTGCTCCCACCTCCTGCTCTGAGTTGAGATATACAGTCTGTGGTCGAGAATTATGAAGGCTGCAGTGGAAGTTATTAATGAGAGCTTTGACAGCAGTTTTACTGCAAATTCAGGAGGCTCATCTAGCTACTCAGCATGGATACCCATTCACAGAAGGAGCAGGCACTGATGATATAAGTCAGCATATTTGAGTGAAACACTGATTTTGTTTATCCCACTAGTCCATGAAAATAGGCCATTTCCTTCTAAAAGACCATTATGACCATTCCAAAAATGACTAATATGAGCATTGCTCATCTGCTCTGCCACCTATAAGGATAAAGTCTGCTTCAGCTAAACTGGAAACACTTGTAGCTAAACACACCGAGAACTAGTCTTTTCAGCTATAGCATCTGACTGAAGCTAACTTTTGTCGTATTACTACAAAGGCTATTGCATGTAATATTATTTATATCTACAGCATAGAGCTGTAGAATCACTATAAACTCTCGTGACAGTAACTAAAGCGTGTCAGCTGGACAAATAACACAAATAACAAAAAGTTACGTGTTGTCAAGGTTGCTAGGTGACAGGAGCGGCACTTTGAGATGCAGCGGTAGTGTTGGGCACAACTGCCGATGCGAAGCGAAAATTCTCCGTAGACAAGACATTTAATCTCACTTTGGTTCAGTTTGGCCTTTGCGGTCGAGAACGGCAAGGCCACACCATTCATAGACAACGTCTTCCGAAGGATGCGGTCCCCTAATTGGGACACAGCTCATTTCTGTCGTCATGACAGCTTTGCCAACTCTTCATGCTTTTGAAAGGAGCATCTGCTAGCCGGCTCTTGTCTCACATTCATGCTGCCCAAATAAATCTTAAAATAAAAATGAGGAAGTAAAGAGGAAGCCTCACAGCCAAACCTGGATGAGAAATATTATGAAGGTTTTAGGGTTGTGCTGCACATAGCACATGCTTTTCTCCACATTTCAGCACCAACATCAGTCTGAAAACATTAGAGTGCAAAAGCTGCAGTTAGTTGGCAGAGGCACGCGCGCGGAGCTCTACAAAATCATAAAATCTTTCATGAATGTTGAATTTTGCCTGTCTCTCCATTTTTTTTTTTTTACAGCTTTGCATTTATTATAGATTGAAATGCCCATAAAAATACAACATTTAATGTGTTGAAGGCAGAGTCTGTAACAGGTTAGATTAATGAACCTTACCACTTACTTTATTTTTACAATGTGGGGTGCTGCAGAAACGTCTCTGCTGATGTTCTGAGGGTTGCCCACATCTGCTGTGTGAAGGATTCTTTCCATTGACTTTATTAAATATTTGTAGCCATCGCACAGCAGCAGGAACGATATTAGTGTCTCCAAATTAAGAGAGGCTGAGGGTGATTTTACACAAGTGGCGCAGCAGCAGTATCTTCATTAATTATTCACAATAATCATTAATTATCCAGATGCAGTGACAGGATCTGTTAGTATCTAACCGTAAATGAGTTTTTCTACACAACAGAGAGGTAAGATGTTACACACAGACTCAAAGTCAAATTATTTGGAGTAAAGCACCCATGATGAGTCCTGCAGCTCTATCATAACTGTCAGGACATCTTCATTTTGCTGTGGTTCCAAGCTCTGTTGCTTCTGGAAAGTCAAAATTTACAGTATATTTTCTGTCCTGTCAAGTTTATTATTAATATAGGGAGCTCTAAGTTCTGATGCTTCAATACCATCTCACAAAAGATATGGCGGTGGTATCAGTGGTATCATACTGAACACAACTCTCCAATCAAAGATAGATAGAAAATGTTTGTAAAAAATAAAACCCATTCTATTGTTGTACTGTAGCAGTTTCCTTATTGCATACAAAGACCAATAATTAC